GTCTATTTGACTATTACACGTTGACTACTAATATTATAATTATTTTCAATAGCCCGTTCACCACCTGACCAACACAAGACTTACAAGCGTAAGGAAAGTGAAGTGGTTAAGAGAAAGAATTCTGTCCTCATCAGAAGAAACCGTATTGATGAATCACATTAAAGACTTTATCCTTGAAGATGAACCCATTGATATTGAAACACTGCACAAAGCATTAGAAAATCAGGTAATGTGCATTTATCCAAGCTGAAAAGTCTTTCGTTGTATTAGCCATTCCGAGGTGAGGGAGGGGGGGAATGGGATCGAGTTGGCATTGCAATGCATTTTGGGGCTGTTTTAGTTTTCCATACATCGGTTCATTGGTCAAACACAAAGCATTCAGTCGAGGTTGCAAGGTTCAAATTTGAATAATCTAAATCCTTTGAAAGTACCTTGGCGCCTCGCTTGAGCGTTTTGTGTTTGACCAGTGAACCAATGTATGGAAAATGGTGAATAGCCGCCATCTTGAAAATGTCCCCTAAAACAGCCCCATAATGCAACGCAATGCCAATTCGTCCCAGTCTTTTCCTCGACTTTGGAATGGCTAATTCTTACAATAAATAGGTAATCCAGTTCTGTGATAAAATGAGACTTTTTATAGATAGATTTTTTAAAGATATTTTTATTCTCATTTTGTTTCTCAGTGTGAGGTATAATATGTTTACTTATCTCATTGTTTACTTGTACTAACTGTAGGTGAAGCGCGCAAAGCTCAGGCTTCGAGGAGCCGAGAATATCTTATCATTGGTTGCTAAGGATCATTTGATTCCCTCAGTACGCTATGCCATTCTCTGTGGTTGGCAGGGACTTTTAACGTCACGGCCTCGTGCACGGTTAGTCTTAGAAAGTGGATTTTTCTATCATTTTTTTATAGTTTAAAGCTTTCTCTTGGAGTTCAGTAGGAAACTTCAAAGTGAGAAAAGGTTTTTTTCCAGTAGACATACTCTGCCATTCAGAGAATACTTTACTGTGGATAAAAGATTCTCTCATTCCTAAGTCGTTTGACCTTTGCTTGTTTATCAATCCAGATAAAATACTGTACAATAAGTAGTCGTAGTACTGACCAGGGCTTAAAATACTGGGCAATTAGTCGCCGTTCATGGTCACAGGCCAAATTAGTTTTAGCTTAGTTATACCTAAACGTTACTGGTCAAAACAACCAGCAAGGCAAAGATTTGATCGGACAAGTCCCAGTTCTAACCGGCCATTGTGCGATGTCCTGTCGTTATTTCAAGTCTTGCAGACAAGTATAAATAGTCTGATCGCTGTCTCGATTTCAATGCCACAGGGATCCCGAACCGCACTGCCTTACCAATGTTGATCTTGTACCTCCTTGTGATCGTGTACAACTCGAAACTACATACAGCAAACTGAACATGTGGGCTATTAATACTTTACGTGGTTCTGTCCACTTTGGTGACGGGACATTCAAGATGGCAGAAGGTCGGTCTAACACAACCCCTAACCAGTACCGTGGTGGTTTGTCCTTAGGGGCATTACCTGTTGCTAGGTTTTTGTTAGCAGCTCTTGGTGTGCTCACGGCTGATCACAGATCAGGTGATGTGAGTGTCATCTTGAACTCTGGCGTCGTGGGTCTTACCCAGACCATCATGCGCCTTGCTGGACCATGTGAGAGTGGAGAAGAAGAAGACGCTGCCTTGGCAGCAATAATAGATGAGGGCAAAACTTCAAAGAAACGACCTGTCGTACCTTTAACGGGTCCCGAAGTGGTCAAGTTAATGAAGATTGGTACACGAGTCGTGCGTGGACCTGACTGGAAGTGGGGTGATCAAGTAAGTATTGTTAAACTTCATTATTAAATATCTAAAGGAAAGCGAGACTCAATAACAATACTCCCATTTCGAGTTCGCCTTTGCTCAGTCTTAAGCCTCTATTGTGTACAAATGTGTTCTTTTTTATTTATTGAGGTCCATTGTATGGTAAGGAATGTACACACTACGGAACAATACGAGTTGATTAAAATGTCACGGGTTTTGTTTGAATAGCTGAATGTTATAACGCACAACCGAGACTAAGGCTGAGCAAAAGAGAACTCGAAACTCCAGTATTAGTAATTTTGTTTTACTTGAACGATTTGGAAATCCAGAGCATTGCAATATTTTGGTAAAGCTGTCACGTATCTTTAGTTTCAGGGCGAAATGTATATCTGGTGCGAATTCTTGTCGATGGCGATTGTTTTTGCTAAACCACGCGTTCTCGTTTGTTCCCTTATGTTTTGTCCAAGTAGAATCAGAAGACAGTAAAAGTTCTAAATGGTGTCTGTTTTTTTGTAGGATGGCCCTCCACCTGGCGAAGGTAGGATCATAAGTGAGATAGGAGAAGACGGCTGGGCACGAGTACAGTGGGCTACTGGTAGTACCAATTCGTATCGTATGGGTAAAGAAGGCAAATACGATCTTAAGCTGGCCGGTCCTCCCCCTGTACCTGAAAGTAGCGACGAAGAGGAAGAAGACATGAAAGGTAAATCAAAATACCTCGCATATACGGTCGTAGTTTTAGACCACTCAAATGTATCAGTTTCTTTTTGTTGGCTCCCATACATCGACAAGCAGTGTACAACGACTGATTCTGAACAATTATTAAAATCTTATTAGCAATGTTCTTTTTTTCATTTGGTGGCCTGGAAACCCATAAATTCAAGAGGAAAAGTGACAACTCAGTTTTGCAATTTTTCTCGATTCTGATTGGCTAACATTTTCTCTCAGATCAGATGGTGTTAGTTTTGGATCCAAAAGTCCTGTGGAAATGTTCGGGTATAAGAACCTATTGAGTTTATTTTATGTTTTTCTTTTATGAAACTTAGATGATTCCAAGACCGAAAAGACAGAGATACAATCAAGTCATCCAACAGCTCTAATCAGGCAGTCGTGTTTGTGTTTAATGCGAGCTCTGGTTATCACGTCTGGATTACATGCAGACGATGTGCAGCTGACTCGCGTGAGGACCGTTAGTGCCTTGCTACACCAGTTGGTTGCGTTTGGTACTTCTGTTACGGGTAAGTTTAGTATACATCACTCCATTTGTCCGAAATTTATTCTCCTCTTTATTCCATCTTCCATCCATTTATCCATGCATCTACTGATTCATTTCTATCTTTTCATTCATTTCCATTCATCCATCCACCTATCCTCAATCCACCCACCGTTAATATTCTAGCCAATCAATTAATTAACTGGCCAAGATTATTGATTCTGTGATATATCTTAAAAGAAAGGACTAATATTCTTTTATATTTTTTGATGTATCACAGGAAGCACAGCGCAAAATGTACAAGCACAACAGTTCCGTGACTGGGCAAAGCTTGGATTCATTCGTAGTATTGCGATAAAGTCTACCATGCGCAGAGCCCTCAGTAGCACCCAATGGGTGAATCTCTTACTTCGACTTGTCAGTGGATCCATACCCGAAGATGATACGACGTCAACTGCTACGCATCTTCCTAGACAGGTTAGTAAGTGTATATTCCCAGAAACTAGATTTACAGAAATATCGTTAGCTATTTACTCGTATACCTTACTGGTATTTGTTTATTGGTATTGCAGGTATTAGCGTTACGATTGCTTCGTTCAGTATTGTCGTCGTGGGAAAGTAAAAGCGACCTTACTCGTATGACTGACTTGGTTGAGAAGCTATTTGCTTTGCTAGGAAAAGTCCTTATGGCTTGTACTGGAACCCTACCTGCACAAAGTAGCATGAGTAAGTTTTTGGGACCACAATGAGCATGAATACAAAAACCTTCATTTAAGTTMTTTTCGTTGAACAGATGCATATAAATATTACTTTTTCACATTTTATCGTAGGTGAGAAGGGCAAACGGAGCCGAAAAAAGGCTAAAGCCCCTGCTTCAGTCTCAGCCACTTACAGCAGCACAGTAGCAGAGGAGCTAGTTACTTTACTGCGGCGCCTACACGCAATGGAGAGCTGGAACCCGCTTGTAAATGACTTCATCAGCGAAAGACTTGGAAGTATTGCCTTGATAACATCATCGAGCACTTTGTGTGAGCAGTCAGAAGCGTCACAGGTATTGCTTCATAAATTGATACCGCACTCATTGCTTCAGATATTAGTACCGCACTTGAAGTGTTACCTCTCGATGTCCAAACTTGGACGGGCATCATCACAAAAGGCATTGCTGTGCCCCTATATTAGCAACTAAAAAAATTAAATACGAAATTAGGATGTTGCCATTGGAACTTACTGCAGTATTCTAAAACTCGTTGACTATTTTTCCCGTTTTTAGATGCCAAGCGAATCGTTTAAAGATCCTTCAGACCAGGGTTCAGTTATGGCTGTACTCGCAGTCATTGGTGGTGTAGATAGTCGACCTCGTCTGGGGGGAGTGGTACAGCATAAGGACTGGGGACAAGGCACTGTTAGTCGAATCGCTCCAAATGGTAAAGTGACTGTGCAGTGCACTGACAACAGTAAACCAAAAATATGTCCTATATCACAAGTGAAGGCCGTGAGTATAACCTCAGTTATCTTACTTTTCAACACATTAGTCACCTAAGGACAAAAATCGTGTTTGTCAGAATTTATTTAGTACAATAAAATACGTGTCTGTATTTTGCATGACCACATTGCAAAAAAGAACCTTTTCCTTATCTTAGCTTGGTATTCACGCATATTATCTTCATACATAACTGTAACTAAAAACGTTGTTTTGGTTTACTAGGTTCCTGTTTACTCGTTCTCTGTTGATAACTTACCCATGTCAGAAGCAACACTAGGAATCTGGGCATCTTTAATACGATTGGCTGGAACAGGACAGCGAAAAACACCTGAGCCTCCCTCCACAGACTTTGAGCTACCAACTCCACCATGCCAAGAAATGACAGATCCCAGCAAACCTCCTCTCAGGCTACTGAAATCTGCAGAAACTAGAAAAGGTTCGTGTGTGTCAACTTGGACTTTTATTTGTTAGCCTGTTTGTGAGGAGAACAAGAGTATATCGTATYGTTAAGTACAGCATCACCACAGAAATATTTGGGCATCTTTTGTAATGTTTCCGCCGTGCARGCATAGTATAAAGCACTCTAATTCAAGTTATAAGATAAAGAAAGAAAATATACACGACTTGAAATTCTTTTTTTTTTAGTTGAAAAAGTGGATACGACGCTGCTTCGTCAACAACAAATCAACCTTGGTCTTCTAAAGGCTGCTCGTGTCTTGTTCAGTCGTCAAGATAACCTGCGACAAATTTTGACGCACCAGGGTGGTGACGAGACAGGTAGTAGAACCTTTTCTTTGCGACAACTCATGGCAGCTGCCATCAAACCCTCGCCAATAAAATCGATGTTTGATCGTGAAGAACTGGAAGTAAGTATACAAATTCCTTTTTATAGGCTTGTTGTTGTATCATAAACAAACGGAACTCTTATAACAGTGATCCTAAAGCTTGACGTATCATTGTCACTGCTAAGGCTGTCATTTTTTTTCGTAGGCGGCTGCTTTGGCCACTTGTCAGTTTCTTGCTACGGAAGCAAGTCGACCAGAAGAATCTACTCCTCCTCCTCCTCCTCCTCCTTCTACTGAAGAACGCTCTGATTCACCATCTGTGGCCCAGCAAACAGTTGCTTCGAAAAAACATCCAAAGCAGCATTCGAAACACCAAAAAGGACAAAAGAAAATTCGAATCAAGAAACAAAAACCCGCTCCAGTGGAACCTAAAGTACAACAGCTGATAGAGATGGGATTCCCGAGAACACACGTGGAATATGCGTTAAAAGAATTACGTGAAGAAGATGATCCAAGAACAGAGCTTGTCGTTGCATGGTTACTTGATCACACAGGGCTTGAGGTATTATATTAATCGGCCAGGGAGAGGGGAGGGGGATTGTCAAACCTGTAAGACATTCTTTTTTGTTTGACTTTCTTCGCACTTTTTATGTTCTTTTGGATGTACCACAGGTGCCAGAAAGAGAGGCTGACGCTGCAGAATCATCAAGTGATGAGTCATCTGACGATGATGGCGATTATAACAGCGACACTAGTTCTAGCAGCGATTCCGATATGTCCTCCTCAGACAGTGAGGGCACCAGTCCACCTACAGACTTTAAAGTGCGCAGTGATTTCACAAGTAACGACGAGTATGCCCGCTATGTTAGGGAGCATATACAAGTGGGGATGATGGTCCGCTGCTGTCGTACCTATGAGGAAGTGCATGAAGGAGACATAGGACGTGTTATTAAGGTAGGTAATCAGTTAAAGGCAAGTGTTATCTTAAGTGTTAACTAATCAACTGATTAGGGTGAAAGGCGAAATCTGGAAAAAAGGCAGTCAAAGATTCAAGGATGTCGAAATGGAACTACTACATTTCTCAGCAATTGCCATTGCATTGCTTATTTTAAGGTCGAAACAATCGGTTGTTAAAAGAGTTGGCAAGAGGTAGTGTTTTTTGTTGATTCACTCCTGAATATCCGGAGGGTGTCTCTTAGAGTTCTCCGCCCCCTCTCTCCCTTTGCGATACCAAAAGTCCTAAAAAAAGTCCTTGTGCTTGTTAATGTGCGGTAAATGTATATCTGATAATAGTTATCTATTGTTTACAGCTTGATAGGGATGGCTTACATGATCTTAACGTACAGGCTGATTGGCAGCGTAAAGGAGGCACGTACTGGGTTCGCTACGTTCATGTGGAATTGCTTGGCCACGATTCGTACGGTAAATCATATTCTGTCTACCAAAAGGATGCGCCCGTCACAATTCCTGTTTTCAGGAGGTCCTCCATATCTTATACAGAAATAAACTGATATCATCATGCATTCGAAAAAATATTTTTAATTTTCTTTACAACCTACACGTGACTTGACTAACTACATAGTCTGGGGTTAAGACAGTGAAAAAGATTTTACTACACTAATTCCCAGACTCCAGATTCGGAATTAAATCGTATCTAATGACTTGCATGTTTTTTACATCTTGCAGCTCAACGTGGAATTATTAAAGTTGGTGATCGTGTTCGAGTGAAGAGCACTGTTACAACACCTAAATACAAGTGGGGTTCAGTGAATCATAATAGTATAGGAACAGTGGTGTCATTAAGCCCTAATGGGAAAGATGTTAAGGTGGACTTCCCTCAGCAAGCCAACTGGACAGGTCTTATCACAGAAATGGAGGTGGTACCAGCCAAACATACAGGAGTCACGTGAGTACACATGATCAATGCTTTACTCACCTTCGTACTTTTATTAAGTGTAAATCAATATAGCGTGTATTTTGGTTTCTGATAACAAAATACCTCGCTTCTGTCAGTTTGCTTGAAATTCCGATAAATTATAGTAAAGGGGCTTGGATTTTATTGTGTTTGTGCCATACTTTTGATTTTGGTTGGCGTACTAGAGAAATAAACGTATTATACCTCTTTGGATTGGCCGTAATGTTTTCCCGTTTCAATCCACTGTCATTCTCTTGAGAAGAAGATTCTTTGCATCATTTGTGTCCGTAATTATGCCTTCTAAGCGCATCTGCTATATAAAGAAATTATACACTAGGAAATGACACGTGGTCTGAAATGGGAAAACATTACCCCCGAGCCGAGGAAGTCTATTACATTTGATAACTTTCGTCTCGCGATATTGTATTAACAAGTGGTATTTTCATGGTAGTTGTGATGGCTGTCACATGTCTCCCATCGAGGGTTCTCGGTTCAAGTGTAAAACTTGCCCAGATTTTGACTACTGCGAGAACTGCTTCAGGATACGTCGAACCCATAGACATCCATTTTACCGCTTCSAAGAGCCTGGGAGTATACCAGTTAACGCGGGCAAACCTGGCCGTGGTCGTAAGAAGTCAAGCACGAGTCCTGGATCTGGAGATATAATCATTAAAGAATGGGGTCGCGTGGTGAAGGATTTGTCAGTGTCGTCACGTGAGAACCAAGCGTACCGATTGGTAGATAGTACTGACTCATACTGGCAGTCATCTGGTCCACAGGGAAAGGTAAATGATAACTAAATCATTACACCCATGCTTAAAAATCTAGACTGTGATTGGCATTTACGGAAACATGGAAGTGCTTCCAAATTATTCCAAATTATTAATTTCAAAATTAGTCCACAGTTCTTTTGAAATAATACCATTGGGAATTTGATCATTTCTGCACTTGATTATTTTTATTTTTTATGCAACTTATGTATATTCCTGTTATTTTGTCAGCATTGGATACGTCTAGAGTTGTATCCCGATCTTATAGTGCACCGTCTGACCATGACCACAGATCCATCAGACAGCAGCTACATGCCCTCCCTTATCGTCATCTCTGCTGGTGATTCAGTCACGCGACTTAAAGAGATCAAGACAATCCACGTTGGTTCAAGTGACTCTCTAGTAACACTACTAGAGGATGTGCAGGAAGTAAGTTGGTTTGTTTCCATAGCGACATTGTTACCATAGCGACAGTGGCCTGTAGAAACACTCCTGTGAAATCACATTTCTTAACGTATTTTTTCCTGGCACAATCACGTGACGGCAGCCATGTTAGATGGCATAAACAATACAATCGTTTTACATAAAAAATAACTAAATTCCCAAGAGCAAAGGGATTTTATTGTTTTGCCATCTAACCACAGGCAGTCCAAGCTGTATTATGGGCCCCGCCACGTGATGGTGCAAAGCTTTATATTTTATTGTATGAATCCGCAAAGCAAATAGCTAATAATATGATCTTTTTTATCCCTTCACTAGGAGTATCGTTTCATTGAAATAGGAATTCGCCAGTGTAAAAGTAGCGGTATAGACTGCAAAATACATGGTCTTACAATATCTGTCCGTCCTAAAGCTGACGAGGATGATGTTGCAGCCAGTTTTTCGTTTATGGCGCTTGATGAAGAGGACGATATGTATGTACATACGAGGACATCGAGAAAGAAAACATCGGTAACGCACATTACACAAGAAGGACAAGTCAAGGTGTTTGTATGGGGACTGAACGACAAGGATCAACTGGCAGGGCTCAAAGGATCAAAGGTTTTGATCAGTTGCTTTCTGTACCCCTAGATGATACTCTTATTACAAAGACCGTTGTCGGTCGGAGATCTGAAATCTAAAATCAGAGACCGAGTAGCACACTGCAAAATGTAATGTATCAACAGCCGAACAACATAGTTTCCTTCTAGAATGGAATATGAAGCATGACCTTGGAGTCAGATATGTGATTTTTCGTATTTTAACCAGAAAACGTAAAAAGCACACAAATTCGCCCATCTCAGATATTCGACCGACAACGTTCTTTGAAATAGGTATAATGATAGCACAAGCATGCCATGTTTTCATTTTATAAACATCGTAGCAGTTATAAGAGTTTCTCGTTTCCCATTTAATTGGTTTTCTTTTCATACCTCAGGTCAAGACCCCGGTGTTGTCTGAGTTCTTGAGTGCCCTAAGAGTCCAACAAGTAGCAGGCGGCTCTAAAACTCTGTTCGCTGTCTCGCATGATGGCAAAGTATTCGCTTGTGGAGAATCTACTAACGGACGGTTGGGCCTGGGGCCTCTGACTGGTAACATTGCTGTACCTCGGCAAATTGAAGCCTTGAATCAGTTTGTAGTGAAGAAAGTCTGTGTTCACTCTGGAGGTCGTCATTCTATGGCCTTGACTATCGAAGGCAAGCTGTTCTCTTGGGGAGAAGGAGATGATGGAAAACTTGGACATGGAAATAAAACGTGAGTCTATTTATTTTTTGTATATTTATACCGCAAACGGTACAGATTTCTGTAACATCTTTCTTTCCTAAAATTATTAGATGTCTTAGACATTTTAGTGGTATACCGAAAGACCGAAAGCCTTGTACCCACATGTGCTTTATCGCGTTTTTACCTATCTTTTTGCGTTGGATAAATTCGATAATATACTTCAAAAACCAACACATTGTGATGAGAAAAATCTATAAAAAGATAACAAAAAAGGCAATAGAAAAAAAGAAAGAGAGGAAAAATAAATTTATAAATATAAAATAAATATAAACGTAACAAAGCAGGTCTCGTACAAAATACATTATGTAAACCAAATAAAATTTGAAAAATACATTATGTAAATAGTTACTGTACAGGGAATACACTGTGAACTAATGTAGAATACATTGAATGATGGAAGAGTTTTGTTAGCCATACTTGGAACTAATAACGATCAAACCTCATTACTTTCTTAGCACATATGACCGTCCTAAGTTATTGGAATACTTCAAGACCAAATGTGTGCGTGACATGTCTTGTGGTAGTTCTCATAGTGCTGCTATCTTGTCTAATGGTGCACTGTACACATGGGGTCTGGGCGAGTATGGACGTCTGGGACATGGAGATAACCAAACGCAACTAAAACCAAAACAGGTAACAATAACCTGCCAAAATGAAAAAAACAAACAATTGCTGCGGTTGCTGTAGAACTGGCCAAAGCGAACAAAAACGGTAACAATAAACAACAAACACAGCATTAATTGCACAAATGCAATGAATGAAAGCAAGAACTCCTTGGACAAAGACTCGAACATAGTGAAAAATAAGACATCGTAAAATGTTTTCCTTTGCAAATGTCTTGCACGGGTGCTGTACGAYGCAGTGGCTCATACCTTTTGTTTTAATCCTTATTTTCAGGTCCAGTCTCTAGCCAGTCATCGTGTAATTGACGTAGCTTGCGGTAGTCGCGATGCCCAATCCATTGCTTTAACCGATGATGGCACGGTATGGACGTGGGGAGACGGAGACTTTGGTAAACTTGGCCGAGGAGGGAGTGAAGGTTGTAGCACGCCTCACCCAGTTGATAAGCTACAGGGACAAGGTGTCTGTAAAGTAGCCTGTGGTGCTCAGTTTTCTCTTGCTTTAACCACATCAGGCCTTGTTTGGACCTGGTAAGTTAAACCGTGGAATCATGTTGTCCCATTGAGGTGACTTGATTTTGAAAACCATCAAAGATGATGCTTCAGCGTTATGAGGATTGAGTTATCCAATATGTCTGTCTTATATTTTGCAGGGGTAAAGGAGACTACTTTCGTTTGGGCCATGGCAACGACACCCATGTACGGAAGCCACAAATAGTGGATGGTCTTCGAGGAAAAAAAATAGTTGATGTGGCTGTTGGTGCATTACACTGTATGGCCGTCACTGACCAGGGACAGGTATGCTAGTTCGTTCATCGGATTTGTTACTGACACAATAGTTAATGTGCAACAAAGCTCGCAAAGCACTCTGGGAAACAGAGTACTGCAAAAATGGAACAGGGAAATCAAAGGAACTATCAGATAAAAATTACTCTGTTATTTTCGTCTGTTGAAATACATCTATTCTATGTCTATTCTGACTGAATATTACTAATATATTTATTAGGTGTATGCATGGGGTGACAATGATCATGGACAGCAAGGTAACAACACTACCACAGTTAACAAGCGACCGCAACCTGTATCTGGGCTAGAAGATCATAAGATAACGCGAGTAGCTTGTGGTTCATCACACAGCGTAGCCTGGGCTGAGTCAGACCTCCCTCGTCCTACTATTCATGAACCTGTGATGTTCCCAGTAGCACGTGATCCACTTGGGGCATCCTGCCTAACKTCTGAAGCATCTCGTGATAAACCAGTAACTATGGCAACCGATGTCATAAGCAATGAAATCGCCGGCAAGCGTCACAGACCTTCATTAGCTAAAATCGTTTTATCTCTCAATTCGAATCATGAACGCCAACAATCTTTAAGTCACATACTGACATCACTGCAGATCATGTATGCTAGAGATAGTGTTGTAGAAGCTTTAATGGATTCCAAAGCTTTCCTCAGTACTGACCCGAAGGCAAGCCCGCGGGATGATCCCGCAGGTAAAGTGACTTCTTTAATGTCAGTGCCAGAAGTCGAGCTGGATGACATCACATTGACAGTTAGCGAGGAAACCAGGGATAAACCAATTGTCGAAGGACTTGATGAGTTTACAGGGATCCTTGGTAGAGAAGACGCAAGGCTGTTAGTCGAACTTCTAAAACTTGCTGTGGCTAATCGCACAGGGGAGCATGGTAAGGATGTACTGTCAAGAGTCTTACGGGCGCTAGCACAGGGAAGATCTGAGGTAAGTACGRATATGGTGATGTGTGTTTTTACAGTCACCTTGACTGCGAGCGATCTCACTTTCCCTCCAGACTCAGTAAAAACTAGTGTTTTGGGATTCCTGTGGACGCGCGCGGAGATTGGAGCCTTGCTGAGCCTTGCTGAGTTTGGAGGGAAAAGTGGTACTGCTATCAGTAACTGAACAGATCTTGCCTGTTTAGGTGTTTCAATGGTGCCTTTTTTGTTTCTCAAGGTCGCAGATATGCTGCTTGAGTTGTGTATTACAGAGCTAGAGGAAGTTGCTATGAATAACAGTGATTCTCATACAGCCTTTCAGCCCGTTGTACAGGAAAGTACTCATCCATACACAGAAAATACCAACACTGCTGGGGTTGTCAAGATAACCGGAGCCGAAGGCCTGAGAGTGGAGTTTGACAAGCAGTGCTCGACAGAAAGACGTCATGATCCACTAACAATCATGGATTCCACTGGTCGTATTATATCAGTGCGGTCGGGTAGAGAGTGGTCGGAATGGTCGAGTGAACTGAGAATCAGTGGTGACGAGTTGCGATGGAAGTTTACAAGTGATAGTTCAGTAAATGGTTGGGGTTGGAAGTTTACCGTATACCCGATCACCCCGGCATCTGCTCCATGTGATATTCTATCTGACAGATCCTTACTTACAAGACCATCAATAGATCTTGTACGATGTTTGTTGGGTTAGTGTAAACACCTTTCTTTCTGTCTAATTAGATAGGTCCGTTCTCCAGTGGGGGAGAAGGAAGGGGGAGTTGGTTCGATATGTAATTATTACCCTACTACGATGTCTGGGTAAGAGAATGCGTGTGTATAATATTCAAACTAACTGGTGTTAGTAAGAGAAAGCAGAATCGAAGATATTGCCATATTAAAGCCGAACATAAATAATTTATTCTTAACTCATTTATTCTTAGTTTGTATAATGCTCTTAGTCCCTTGTAAGACGGCCTCTGGCGCTCTCATTCCCATGGTTATTTTCCCTTTGTTTACCAATAATAGTCCTTTGTCTACCAATAACAAAGCATCTTACTTCCTAGAGATTTGCAATGGGAATATGTCAAAGGGGAATTCGGTGAGTTTTCAGGATTATTGCAGTTCTTTGAAACTTCAACTCAAATTGTACCTCCCCAGACTTCCAGCTCGAAACGATGTGCAGTCAGTCACAGATTCCTCGTCTTGCTGCAGCCCTTGCCTCGTGCGCACAGCTTGGTACACTTTCCGCTGGTCAGAGAACTTGGGCGCTTCATCGACTTTGTAAACTATTGACGTCTGAATTTGGACCGCCCGTAGACGTTCCAACTTTACTGGGCTTCAATCTGATGTATGATGAGACACCAATCAAGCTTAAGTATATCGGCAATCAAAACATGACCAAGGTAAGAAGCTAAGCTCTCAGTTGATTTACCATTGATTTCGTAGCTACGCGAAAGTTTATTTGTTGTGCGAGTTTTTCGACTCYCTTCCGTCAATCAAACCGGAATTTATTTAAGTCGAATTTTTGAATGGAAACGCGAACGAATATTTTTTAAATATAAATTGAGACAACAACATTGCTGCCTTATTGTTTTTATTTAAATTTGATCTGATTTGATCTAAAGGTTATCTTAGAATCCAAAAATTACTCCTTCCTTTGTCTCCGAACGTAGCTTTGAAGTTCTGTAACATTATTCTCACAGAACTTCAAAGCTACGTCCGACTACAAATGGACAAATAGTCCGGCCAGGAATTCAGAGATCAATAAATTTGATCTCTGCACAGAGTGACATTTAATAATATTGTTTGATGACACTTTTTTTCCAGGCTATTTCAGCTTCGGCCCTTGGAAGTCTTATACGAGGACTGCCCGATGCCTTACGAAGACAGCACGAATACGAAGAGCCTTTAGTTCGCGGTGGCAAGCATCTGCTTCACAGTGACTTTTTCAAGGTAAGTTATAAATTAAGGTTAAGGAATGTAGCTTGGCGGTTGCTGATACAATTAATATCGTTCATCAGGTGCTTGTTGCCTTAGCATGTGATCTTGGTATCGACTTACTGCCATGTTGTATGGACCGGCATGACTGGGCTTGGTTCAGGCGCTACTGTATGGCTTCCCGTATAGCATCTTCACTAGAGTCCAGGCTTCCTCTTCCTTTAGACTTTGTGCAAGATGTACAGGAGAAGATAAAAGAGCTGACTACCGAAGGAGAGACGGGAGAAGATTATCTGGACCATACGATATTCAAGAGAGAGCAAGACGAACAATTGCTRCTTTGGCTTAATCAGTAAGTAATATTGCTATTGGTTTTATTTATTATTTGTTGTTAGTTGGACCAAGTAGAGAAGAGCAGATTTCAGAAAGCACTCACCACTCCATTTCTTTACTTTGGTAAATAAACCAATGTCAATGATACATGACAATTCTTGTTCTCTACCATGTCGGCAGAATATTATTTTGATAATAACTGAAAGTACTTTTTACTGGAGACAAGTCATTCATTTATAAGACTGTATAGTAACACTAGATACCGAGACGTAGATGAGAAAGCGTTACAGTTTCTGGATAAATAGGCCTTTTAAATAGATTGACACGTGATTGGTACTGGTTGGGAAAAAGTGGACTTACTTTATTTAAAGATTTTGTGCAGGGTTACTAATGTCGTATCCAAAACCTTTTCAAAAATACTTTTTTCCCCTTATAAAATACTTTCGATTTCAAAATACAAAGCAGTTTAAAGCTTGTTTGCCATACAACAGAGCCATCCCCAAGGGACCTTGAGCTGAATTGATTCGTTTTCAAAGTCATATATCAGCACGTGACTGTTTGGCAGTTTTTTTAAAGATCAAGATCTTGTTATTACAGGCGGCCATCTGATTGGACCATGACATGGGGAGGAAGTGGCACCATATATGGGTGGGGCCATAACCACAGGGGTCAGCTCGGAAGTATTGAAGGTGCTAAAGTCAAACTACCCCAAGCAAGTGAGGCCCTAGCTGCTATAAGACCCACACAGATAGTAGGAGGTGAACAGACTCTTTTCGCTGTCACTGCAGAAGGAAGGGTAAGCATTACTAGAAACGTTGCTGTACTGCAAAATCTAAATCGGAGATCAAATCAATACTAGCTATTGACTTGTGTACTTTGGTCAGGAAGCCCACTATGTCGTTAATATATATCTTACTATGACATTCGAAGGTGTATGCTACAGGTTATGGTCATGGAGGTAGACTAGGGCTAGGTGGAACAGACACGGTTACATCAATGAAAATGATCGAGTCCTTTCAACACGTGGTTATCAAGAAGGTCGCTGTGCATTCTGGTGGTAAACATGCCATGGCGTTGTCTGTAGATGGAGATGTATTCACTTGGGGAGAAGGCGACGATGGAAAACTTGGGCACGGTAACAGAAAGTAAGTCAAATCATGTTTCACCAATAGAGAGTATCAATTAACCTTTTCCGAGCTACCGTCAATTGGTRCAAATGGTGTTGAATTGTGTTGCGGTCACCATTGTTCTCGGATTCCCATACAAATTTGCTTTCTTTAGTTAACTCTCTAAACAATAGTAAGAAAARCTCCAATCAAGTTAGAAAAATTTGCTTGTATTGAGAGAGCTAACCAAACAAACCGAGTAGATAATTTGTTTAAAACGGTCAGTGTATTCGTACGGAAATCCGTACGAAACTCCTTGGTGACCGCAATGCAACATCATTTAACCACGTGATGGCTAGACCTGAATAAAGGAATACAAATCCGTATGTCCACAAGTGAATATAGTGTAGTAGAAGGAGCGACCGAGGGATGGAAGATACTTAATGGACCTATTTTTCACTGAGGTAATCTATAAATGAGCGTCAATTTGTGTACGTGTTTCAGTTCGTGTGACCGTCCACGTGTTATCGAGGCCCTTCGAGGAAAGGGAGTGRTTGATATATCTTGCGGTGGATCACACAGTGCATGTGTTACCCTCAGCCATGAACTGTACACATGGGGAAAAGGACGATATGGACGACTCGGGCATGGAGACAGTGAGGACCAGCTAATCCCTAAATTAGTCGAAGCATTACGTGGATACAGGGTTATCGATGTAGCCTGTGGCAGTGGTGACGCGCAGACCTTGTGTTTGACTGATGATGATTGTGTCTGGTCTTGGGGTGAGTCTTGATGTTTATTTGGGCATAATACGTTAACTATAGCGAGAACTTTAATTGGTCGCTTCTTAGTCATGTATCCAGAATTCAAATGTATTCAAAATGGGAGGCCATTTCTAGTTTGCCAGCGATAGCCTGCGCAGCGGCGCTTTAGCAAGGGGAAGGGAGAAGGAACGGGAGGGGGACTAAGTGCATAGTATACCGCTTATTTTAATAGGCTATATTTATCAAGGTTAATTCAATGCATCGTCTGTTTACGGTGACATGCATGTTTTCTGCTCGGCACAAGCAAGTTTGCCTATAGTCGGATGTTTATTGCATAAACTATTACTGTATAATCCATGAATGTTGATTGTGTTGTTGGTATTGCTAGGTGACGGTGATTATGGCAAGTTAGGACGTGGTGGTAGTGATGGATGTAAGGTACCCATGCGTATTGAATCCCTGATAGGCCTGGGGGTGTGTAAGGTGGAGTGTGGCTCGCARTTCTCTGTAGCCCTCACAAAGTCTGGCGCTGTCTATACTTGGTAAGTAAACTTAATGCATACATACACCAAACAAAAATAAACAAGTCTAAAGAAAGTCACTTTTGATTTTGCAATGTGGAAAACTGTTCCAAATAACTTCAAAATATGCACTCTGTCCCAAAAACAAACCTCGCTAGACGTGAATTTTTGGAATTTTACCAGTTCACTGGTAARGTACTAAGAAGGACTTTATGAATTTATCTCAGGGGCAAGGGTGACTACTATCGCCTGGGGCACGGTACAGATGATCATGTACGTAGACCTAAACGTGTAGCAGCACTGCAGGGCAAGAAGATCATCGCCATATCAACAGGATCTTTACATTGTGTAGCATCTACAGATACAGGGGAGGTATACACATGGGGTGATAATGATGAAGGACAGTTAGGAGATGGTACAACTAATGCTATCCCGAGGCCACGACTAGTCACTGCACTGCAGGTAACGTCTCTCTAATTGTTTTGTCCCACGCACTATGAGTTTAACACGAATTCATGGGTACAGTAATTCCATAGGCAGTGATATAATCAATTTTTGTGGGGGTTTTTTTTTTTCGCCTTAAGTCGCGACAAAAGATAAAAGGTAGTACATTAGGTTCTTCGTGATAATTTATAGGCTATTAGAACAATCAGTGGATCATTATTCAATCCAAGCAACAAATTCAATCGCTTCCTACAGTTCATTCTTACCTCTTATAGCGCTTCCCAATCACGCGCGCAAAATCGTACTTTTTTTTCTGGCAAGACAAAATAAGGTTTCAGTGTTGGGTTTCAATGACCATGTGTTTCCATAACAAATTCGGAAAATTCGAAATCTTGAAGAGYACGTGCCTATTGAATGTTGTGAAAACGCCTTGATTGACGTCCACCAAAACCAACTTTGTCGCAGCAGCAAATTGTACGATTTCGCGCATGTGGTTGGGAAGCGCTGTAACGGTCAAACTGTAGTTTTAATTAGAGGTGGAATGAAAAATCTATCTTTAAATGAAAATTGAATGAACACACTAAAATAATCGTTCTTTTTATTTAGGGCAAAAAAATCTCTGGTGTGGCGTGTGGGTCAGCTCATACCATTGCATGGTCAACCTCCAAACCAACCAATGCTGGGAAGCTCCCTACTGAAATACCCATGGAGTATAATCACCTACACAACATCCGTTTAAATGATCTTCGCAACAGACTTATCCTACTACACCAGTTCTCTGAGCTTTTTTGCTCGTCCATAACAATATTCGATTTGCATACTTCACAAGACGATGAGCTAGATAACGGCCCCTTGATTGGTCTAAATACTTTAAGGGGCGTATTAATTCCTTCAAATAAAGTAAGTTTTCTCTTTTAATATTTTGAGTAGTCATGATGCCCGGATAGTGTGCATACCACATATCCATGAAAAACTGTAAGAAATTCCACAAATTTGCACAATTAGTAAGTTCAGTAGACCTCAGTAGACCGTAAAACTTTGCACTGATTTGTAAAATTTTGTAAGTTAACTTTTGCACGGATTTATGGTATGCACTCTAACATGGATTACTCTTTAGTATATTTCCCCCCAAGAATAGGTTCAAGGCTTTGATGCTTTGTGTTTTGTACGATAGGAAGCTGCGTTCCGCAAGGTTGTTCAGACAACAATGGTACGAGACAGGCAACATGGGCCAGTTATTGAACTTAACAGAATACAGGTACAGTATATTATCATATCATGTGTAATTTGTAGCTGTATTTGTTCATTTTCCCTTTTATTTAATTATTCGAGTTGGCCTCGTGTAGATTTTGTAGTTCAAGGTCTGCATTGCCTTGAATTTTAATCCTTCATTAAAAAATCGTTGTTAATTTCTTGTATATTTTAGGTTAAGAAGTACCGCTCTAAAGGGGGCCTAGCAGGTCCAGATGGAGCTAAGTCCGTCTTTGGCCAGGCCTGCGAGAAAATGAGTAATTTTGGCCCAGAAAGTTTGTTTCTCCCTCATCGTGTATGGAAAGTAAAATTCATAGGCGAGAGTGTTGACGACTGTGGCGGAGGTTACTCCGAGTCTATCGCAGAAATGTGTGACGAGCTGCAAAATGGCTCTCTACCACTACTGATTGTCACTCCCAACGGGCGAGAAGAGTCTGGTGCTAACCGTGACTGCTTCATATTTAACCCGGACGCTAAATTTCAAACTAACCTTCATATGTTCCGCTTTTTGGGAGTGCTAATAGGAATTGCTATACGCACAGGAAGCCCGCTTAGCCTCAACCTGGCCGAGCCAACCTGGAAACAGCTAGCGGGTATTCCTCTAACGGTATCCGACTTAGCCGAGATTGACAAGGATTATGTACCGGGTCTGATGTGTATTCGGGATATGGATGCCGAGACATTTGAAGCTATGGAAATGCCATTTAGTACCCCTAGTGCTAGTGGATGTGAAGTGCCTCTACATTCAAAGATCAAGACTATCTCGCTTGACAATCGAGAAGAGTACGTGCGTTTGGCATTGAATTACAGACTACGTGAATTTGATGACCAGGTAAACTTTGACTTTACTTGTGAAACAGCAACACTCTTAAACATTAATTCTTTTTTGATCATCAGGGTCTTTCTTCAACCTCGGCCGGGATCCCGCGGATGGGTCTCGCGCTACTCTTGCTTAAAGCGATCATACTCTTCCTATAAATCTATGAGGCCTRAGCTTCAAAAACATTGATGTGATTCCCTAGCGTTGATAGCAAAATATACTATTAACATCTTCTAGGTCGCAGCAGTTCGTGAAGGCATGGCAAGAGTTGTCCCAGTACCCCTATTATCCCTTTTTACTGGCCCAGAGCTTGAAACCATGGTCTGTGGTAGTCCAGATATCCCATTAGATCTTCTGAAATCTGTTGCGACGTACAAGGGAATTGATGCCACGGCACCATTAGTTCGTTGGTTCTGGGACACCTTAGAAGCTTTCTCCAACGCTGAGAGATCTTTGTTTTTGAGATTCGTATGGGGAAGGACAAGACTTCCAAGAACCATTGCTGATTTCCGCGGAAGGGACTTTGTATTTCAGGTCTGTTTTCCTTGTATGAGTAATATGCATTTCACTGTGATTTCATAGAGGCTTTGCTCTATCACGAGATGGTAGTCCTGACAGGAGACACAACCATAGTACTTTCCCTGGGAGACTCTTTTTGCGTAAATATTTTTAGACCAGATTCAATGGACTACTTCGACGGTGGGRAGGCCATTTTGAATCGCTTCCCCATGATATTTGAGAAACTTCACTTATATTATAATTCAGTCTGATGATGATCACTGGAGAGTGATCGAAATATCAAACAAATAAATCATGCACAGAAAATGGCTTCTCGTATTTACCTTTATAATAACTGTTCACTTATTTTAATTCATCTCTTGTCAAATTGTCTTATTGCGAACCGTAAATGTCAATCGACGCCATTATTGTAACAAAGCTTTGTATATTTGCCCCCTGGACGTCCCATAATGCCTTGTGATTCAAGATGGCCTCCGCGTCGTCGAAGTAGTCCATTGTTCCTACCTCCTTTTATGGCTTCCATCACGTGATAATGCAACATCTCTTTTGATATCCTTCAATGCTGCTCTGATAGGCCAGTTATATAATTGATTTGTTTTCCCGATTTTAATTTTTTTTGTTTTCTCTTTAGGTGCTAGACAAGTATAACCCTCCAGATCACTACCTCCCTGAGTCTTACACGTGCTTTTTCTTACTAAAGATGCCACGGTATTCAAGTCAGCGTATTCTGTGCGAAAAACTCAAATACGCAGTGCACTTTTGCAAATCTATTGATTCTGATGACTACGCGCGCATTGATTTGACTGGAGATCCAGCGGAAGGATTCGAAGATGTCGAAGCATTTTGAATGCAATCCGAAATGAGAAATTTGTAATTCAGCGTATTATGATTTTCGTCTGCACAATGGAATATAAATAGTGGATCTTCTGATTTATTGGACAAAACTATGGTCACGTCTCTTTTAAATAAAATTTTKAGTCAAGACTTTGTGTTAGGAAAACGTGTTAGAAATAAATAATGAATGCCACAAAATGCAAAAAGGAAAAAAGTGATAGTTAAACCTATGTACGATAAAAGGACAAGCTGCATTCCAACCAATTCCATTCAGCTGCATATTGATAAAAGGATTGGTCAACTAAATTAGCTAAAACAAATCCGTTTAACTCGTTGTGTTTCCACTTTCCGAATAATATTAGCTGGCTTAGAAAATGTTAACAGACTTTATAAAAGTTTCAAGAGTGAAAAGGCCTCTAGATAATGTTATTTATTTCGAGATATTAAATTCTTTCTTTATATATTTGGCTATGGTTATCAAACTTGTTTGATGACCCTTCCATCCATGCTAGTCTTGTTTAGTGTCCTTTCCATCCATGCTAGTCTTGTTTAGTGTCCTTTCCATCCATGCTAGTCTTGTTTAGTGTCCCTTTCCATCCATGCTAGTCTTGTTGAGTGCCCCTTCCATCCATGCTAGTCTTGTTGAGTGTCCCTTCCATCCATGCTAGTCTTGTTTAGTGTCCCTTCCATCCATGCTAGTCTTGTTTAGTGTCCCTTCCATCCATGCTAGTCTTGTTTATTGTCCCTTCCATCCATGCTAGTCTTGTTTAGTGTCCCTTCCATCCATGCTAGTCTTGTTTAGTGTCCCTTCCATCCATGCTAGTTTTGTTTAATGTCCCTTCCATTCATGTTAGTCTTGTTTGATGTCCCTTCCATCAATGCTAGTCTTGTTTAATGTCCCTTTCCATCCATGCTAGTCTTGTTCAATGTCCTTCCATCCATGCTAGTATAGCCTTGTTGCCTAGATCTTTCACCCCGAGGTTTTCGCAGCTTGTGTCGGGTATGGATGATCTAGTCGAACTAACTGAACTACAGCGTAGGGATAATATCGAATCCTTGAAAGAATCAATTGAATTGCTATTTGAATTTGAAACTTTCCATTTCCTCCTTTTTCCTGGAACCTAACGTTTGGTATTTTTGCATGGGTCGGTCATCTTTCCTAAACACGGGCATGTAAGAATGAAGACGAAGTAAGGCTTCATCATTCACTCTTCTCTGCTTTGAAGGAGAATTAATCCATGTTTGGCAGCAACTTGAAGRATGTAAGAACTGCACAGATCCTCGACTTGCAGTCCTATTTATTTTCTCTGGTGTTATAACATGCCTTGACACATAACAAGGCTTGGTCTGCTTCCTCTCATCGCTTTGATAGTTTCGAGTGAAGATTGTTGTATCAGATCTCCTTGAACCACTTAAAGTTGCCATCACGTTTTGCTGCCGATACCAGTGATTGGCATTTACTTGTATCTCTTTGTTATAAATAACTTGTCTATGTTTCCTATATCCATGTTTCCTCTTATGTGAGGCAGAAGCCGTGAGTGTGTTTGGGCTTGAACATAGCTAAGTCCAGCAAAAAGTTTAGTCTTGGTCAGACAATTCGAGTATTGGTTCTCCAATGGTCATTTTATTTTTTTGGATATTGCACCTTTCTGTATAGGAAGTGTGAACTAAATGAGATCCTGGAAGTTTCAAGGCCAATATCCAATACCTTGTCTTTTAAATGCCAAAAAAAATTGAACAAATGCATCTATTTTGAAGTTGCTGATAACTTTTAGTCTTTCCTTTTTATTTGTGGTCAAAATTAAAAAGCGAAAACGATAAGCCGTRGCCAAAGATAGTGATTATTGGCGACCTTTCTGGCTGAAGATATGATTTTAAGAACGGTAGCCTACGTACATGCAGTAACAGATATATCAGGTGATAACTGAGTGCAAACTATGTGGTTAAAATTATCTATTATCAGTCAAACAAGGCAGTTCAAAAAAAAAACTAATCCACTATTGATGATTATATATTGTTAATGTGTTTCTAATTTCTTGACTTTGTTTAACATGGGAGTTCCGTATTGGTGAGTCGAAGGGGTTCATTATCCGATACTCGCATGTTTACAGCGCTTCTCAATGAAACGCGTGAACTYGTAAAATCAGTAAAACGAAGTAGGTTTTGTTGGACGTCAATCGAAGCTTTTCCATGACATTACATAGGCACGTGCCCTTAAAAGCTTTATTAAAACACTATTATGTCTCGAAAATATTTTTMAGGATTTCGCGCGTGCGATTGCGCCGAGAAGCTCTGTAATGCTAACCCACGTATAATATAAGTACATTTAGAGTGAATTTACTTCAATCGCCCTTTTTGAGCTGTCATGATTCGTTATACTGTACGGCCTGAACAAAAAGGTAAATTTTTAGGTAAAAGTTTATACACTTTGAAAACCATGAGCGAGAAAAGTTACTTTTCTCGGGAATACCRACTTAGAAAACTTTTCAAAAGTCATTTGATAGTTGCAGTTGTACTTGGTCATTTCATGAATGGCATGTTGACCATGTTTGGTGTCAGCCAAGGTAACTCCTAAATCCTCTCCATATTAATACTGAATCACGTACTGTTACCTAATACAAGAGGATATGTTAAGCCGACCCTAACTATTTCAAACTTGTTAGAGCTGTACTCTGGTGTTATAACCATGGACTGTATAGCGGCTGCCAGAGGCGCGTTCACATGCTTTTTCACACTTCGAACCCGTTGAGCTGCACCACTGCTGTACTTGCAGTAGAGAATAGCGATAACAAGTTCTTTTTCAGTCTTGAAAAGTATATAGCATTATGTTGAGCGTTACCTCGGTAGTACGAGTGGAAAAAGAATACACGCCAATTGAAATGGATACACTTGATCCAAAATTAAAACTATCTATTGCTGTGAGATCAAAAATGAATRTTTATGGAAACGGAACCAGAATTGATAGTTTTTTCCCCAAAGGTCAGGCGGTATGACCAAACCATGCCTCAATTAGGAAGATATCACAAGAAACATCCATCCCGACGGAGCCAAGATACGGCAGTGCTGACATGAACCATATTTTACCATTTTGATATTTGTATGTAATCGTGAAAACAGATGTGATTTTAGTTTGAGACCGAAATGAATTTTCTTATGTAAAATATCAAGGTTAGGGTCAAGCAGGATTATAAAGTCGTTATTTTTAACGCTTRATTAAAGATCTATATTTACTTAGATCTTTGTTAGCATACTGCAGTAGGCACTGGATAAATAATCTAGACTTAATTGGAAAGGTTGGGAACAGCAGATGTGCTCCTTCTGTACATAAATAACTCACCTTATCATAAGGATACCAGAGAAAGGATACAACAATAAGGTACTCATTGCAGTTCATGAGCGTCTAATACTTGAACTTAACAAAACGACTCACCGAGCAATCGAAGATGRACGGCAACAATCACGCAAACTACAAGACTGTGAGATTCAGAAGTCTAAGCAAAAGGCATAGTTTACCCATTCTCACGTCCACCCAGAACCAGCCCACAGCAAATGCTAAGCTCTTTCAGCCACCTCCAAAACCGAGAGACAAATATCAAGACACAAAGCAGCTTAGTAAAACTTCCAACTACGAACAATCAAGAAAACTTCTCTCCAGGCACAACTCCTGGCCCCTATCATCAACACCTGCATTCGCTCCAGTATTTCAACTCAACAAAGAAGTACTTCGTAAGTACACAMACTCGTACAGCACCGAAAACTACGTTTACAAACAACGTCATTTTACGATGTCAAAATCTAAGAACTTAAAATCTCAACTACAGCTCCCGCGATTGATTGAGGTTTCTGATCATTTAAGTGATCGATCCTATTGCGACTCAGTAACAGGCTCTTTGCAGTGTAGTAGTCTTACCAGTCAAAACTCTAAAAGACATACATTATCTGAAAAAGACGATCGCGAAAATGTACCGCTTAAAAATGAGCCTGGACATGTTGCTCTATGGCTTAAAGCTACGAATAAAAAGTATTTAAAGGCGAAATAGAAAAATGGGCCGAATAGCAAATACAGTATCGCACACGATACAACGTTTAAGAATTCCTTTACCCGGCAAAATAAAAGTTTTAAGAGTGTCCTTTTATGCAAATAAAGTTGGTATTTTGTAATAAGAAAAGCAATCATATATTTGTACTGCACAGGAAGTTCCAAAATATTTGTGAATTTAGAAGAAGTTTAGAAGCTCGTTAATCTCGGTGTTAATGAAGTTATGATGTCGTAAGTGAATGTTAATACAAACTGTGTTTAAATAGTCGCATACTTCAAGGCTACAAACTAATGAGTTCTTATTTAATTAGACAATATTTACCCCGAGCTACGCTTTAATAAGAATTACTTTTTCCTAAACTTGGATTGCTTCAAATTTGAATTTCAAAATTATGCTAAAGTGAAAAAGAGTTTGTCCGTCGTGCCGCRTAGCGCTCTTGAAAGTGCTTGGTACTGAAAGAAACTTTGAGGTCTTGAACCATTGCTACCATTTTACACTAGTTGTCTTATTCCATGGTYATATGTCAAGTATAGCACTCCTTGATGTATTATATTCAGAAAATCTATCGTATTTTATAATTATGGTCGTTCTATCTTCATTGTATTTTTCGAATGCATTGCATCAWCTGCCTGCTACGAACCTGCTACGTAGTAACAGACAGTTGATGTAATGATTCATATAAATACAATGAATCACGACGTCACACCAACACTAATCTCTTTGCCCGTTTCTTTATCAACGGCTCTCCGATGAAAACAGCAGTTGCAGTCTTAATGTAATTATAAAAAATATATAGTCTCGTTTTATCTATGAAACTAAAATAACAATTTAAAGTTAATCCTGTATCTACTTACCCTCTCTCCCTTCTGAAAAATTTCCCTTTCATCGTTCATATATTTTCTGTTCGATCAGAGTTAGACCATACTCGCATCGAAAAGGAATCACGTCCTGTCCCGCCTCTACCTTTTGAAGAAGAAAAAATGATCTTTTCAACAACTGAATGAGTTGGACTCTGGATTCGAAATGGAATTTGAAGACCGAGATTGCAATTARAATCAATAAAGACTTTGCACGCTGYACCACTAGCTTATATGTGTACTTGCGGGGGATAACGATTCGATTCTGTCCATTTATACGCCCTTACGCAAAAAAAGCTCTTATAACTATACAACTGTGGATGATACTTAATGATTTTACGAAGGATTAACTTCATTTTCAAACAATTTGGAACATATTTCAATCAGAATTTTTTAAAAGCTTTAACTTATTTTAATTGGTTCAAAGATAAAAATGATTATAATATTAATGTTCTCTTAAATTTCACCTGCCCCATCAGTAAKGAAAAAAATAGAATGTCATTTATAAATAAAAAAATAAAGTTAGAGCTTAATGTAGAGGAACACAAAGAGCAAATGCATCGCTCAATAATTTTGTCAGTGAAAGGAAAAGATGAGTGTTTTTATCTGGGGATTTCTCTTCCCATATTCAAAAGCTTTTGTAGTGTGCGTTTTAGGCTAAAAGCCACTAAAATTGCAGGGTGATTCATCAGTATCTGCCTCYCACAGATGAGTGTATCGGAAAATGAATATTATATTTCATTATAATATTTCATTATGGTCAGCGAAGACACATGGTTTAATTGTCTTCTAATACCGGTACTGCACTGGAATCACTCAAAGCAACCTACAAAATGAAGACGAGACCATGGTTTTAAGTATTAAATGTAATTGAAATAATGCTTTGCGATGTCGTCGAATCTTATATCAAAACACAATATGAAATAATGGTATGCCTCTTATCGAAAAGTTTAGCRTTCATGAGGTCTTTAATACAGTAAAAACCCGCAAGTAAGAACCTGCATTTTTAGAAGTAGCCTAAACTGGTTCTTGTTTGAATGATATAGTTAACACGATTTTAGGCTATCTAGGTTCTTAAATAGGTTTCTTATTTCTTATTTTCTGTGTAAAAAAACATCCAGCTACAAGATAAAATGGTAATCAGCCTATTTTTCAATCAACCTCACCCCTCCCCCATCAACAACACCCTAGAACATTAATTGATTTATCTGCACAGCAATGGCAAGCTCCTATTTTTCMAAACAGGATTCYAACCCAGCTCTGCATCACTAAATGATGGTTTTTGAAAATAAGAACCTGTTTTTCATTTTCTAGGCTAAATAGSTTCTTGTTTAAAGGGGGTATAAATGACAAATTTGAGGCTAACAGGTTCTTTTAAAATGTAAAATTAAAATTAAAATTTTCAGGTTCTTACTCGCGGGTTTTTACTSTAATGACTTACATTGTAGACTGTTCTATTTATATGAAAACCTGAATTACTTATAAAGTACTCTTCAGGAAGAACTCGATATCTTTCATGTTATTCATTCAGACATTAATCGGATGACCTCCATTTTGTGAAGTGGTTAAATGACGGTTACTAATGTCAGTACAAAACCAAAGCCCCTGGCAATYAAGGCTGTTCAGTCGATGCACCCTTCAAAAGTATCTTGGATGTGATGCTAACAGAGAACACAAAAGAAATCATACTTTTTCTCGATGGAATTTGAAGCATTTCCKAAGTATTTCTATGTTAGCATCTTATACTCAAGACAATTCTAAGAAGGGTTGAAATTAACTCTGAGAAGAAGAAGAATACARGACAAAAATGTTGTTCTAGACCTGYAAGGCTTTCCGTCCACCTCACAGTGGYAAAGTTGGATAAATTTAAAAATAAATTTAAATTAAAATAAGTTTTCATGGTGATGTCAATATTGACACGCTTTGGGGCTTGGAAGACTTTGCACATTTTAAGTACAAGAGCGAATCCAGGAAGTTTTAAAATGGAATGCTGAGAGTCCTTTATCATAGCCATGGCAGCCAAGTTGACAGGAACAATAGATTTCCCCTGCGTGGCCTCGCATTCGAGCGCTTCAAGATGAGGYTACGTGGGGTCAATTAAATCGTGTCCATTGTAGACACAACAACKTAGGGTAAAAGGAATGTTTTCTATAAAAGAATCCTACACGAGGGGGATGGGGCTGCTTCAGCTCTCTTTGTATATTTTCAGGTAATCTGCCGCTCGAAGACAGCAAAGCATTTGGAATTAATCGAGAAAAATGAATATCAGTGAAAAGTTCTCCAGGACCCGCTTCGTTCCTATGATAACTGGTTATGGACTTCTGCCAGAATCATTTTCACGCTTCCGTTTCTTAGCCTAAATGAACATCATTAACTTGCGACCCACATGGAGAAGTGTTARAACATTTGATTCAGAAAAATACTTTTAAAAAACGATTTAGGTAATAGTGGTATAAAGAAGTAATGAAAGGTACAGATAATTATAAAAGGGTTATTATTCACTCTAGTAGAACCAGCTCAAAGTGTTTGATAAAGCATTCAGAAACAAAGAGGTTTCAGCCCATTTATGAACCATGCATGCGCTTTTAAAATTTTCACATGAGACTTTTTCGACACTGATTTTTGACCTAAAGAAATTTTTTAACGACATCCATTTCCATAATGACGACGCCAACCGAGATGTCGTTTAATCCAGTAAGGAGCCTGCTCAAAGTGTTCACTGATAAAGCATGAAATAAAAAGGTTTCAGTTTATTTACAAATGCGCTTTTCAAAATTTGACATACGAAATGGACGGAACTAACTGATTTTGACGTGAAGAAATTTTAGAACCGCGAGTCTCAGTTTCCATAATGACGACTTCGACCAAAACAAGGCGCTGTTTTACAAAAGAAAGGTACAAATTGTGATTTCAAAGATGAAAATGTCGGTTATCAAAATTTCGATTTTTTTACTTAATCAATCTGCCCCCTCAATGAATAAATAATTCATATCCTCTTGAAAAAAGGTGAATATTGTCAAGAACCTTCCGTGTGTCTAGATTGATAATATTTTTTTCAGTCGTCAAGAAGTATCTGTTTGAGAGGCTCTCGAAGTATAGTGCTAGTACGAGTAGTAAACCCTTTGGACGAACCTGTCAAAGAGAGAAAAGACGATTTGCACAGTAAGAAATGGATTTGGAATACCAATAAAAATTCCGGAAACAAAAATTAAGACCAATTTAAGTAAAAAACTTAGATTAACTAAGAGTTTTGACAAGAGCTTACATGATTAAGGAATACTGGTACTGAGAGGAGAACACTTGACGGTCTCAAAATAGCGAGATACGTAGTCAAGAAAATCCTAGTCGCTCCTTTAAGAAATRGTTATTTTTATCACCATTAGACAGATTAGTTAAAAATACTCCTTTGTCGGCCAATAGGAGAGCTCTAATCCTTTCCTAGATTGATGACCTCTGTTAACCAATGAGAACAAGCCTAACAGCCCTTCCGATTGTTAAGGGGCTCCCGTCAATTTCCCCTTAACTGATGCTCTTTATTTAATAGCCCAGCATCTTTGTGCTGGCTGTAGAATGGATGGAATTACAAAGATAAGAAGGCTTTTGTATGCCAGCTCAATCGGAAATATGTCCCTTGATTGTAAAATGTCTGGTCGATTTCCCTTCCACTGTCATTGGGAATTATTTAGCTGACCCTTCAACGAAAAAAGAATCATATGTTAAGAATATTCGATTCCCACCAATTAGTTCAACTATGGGGTTTAATAATTAACTATTTGATCAATCACTCATTCAAACATTCTCTCTAAGGAGAAGAGTAAAGTTATTGATCGAGATGCTGCTGATTTCATTTTCGAGAGACTATTAACATACGAGATCTAGATAAGATGTGRAGATGACTGCGTAGTGGTACATGTGAAGTAGTTGTTTCAGAGCGTTTGTAGGCCGCGGTGATTCGTGTACAGTCTTTGGGGCCTGTTTTGGGGCCTGTTGACTGAAGTTATTCATTCACATCCATGCAGTCATTTCGTTGGYTGCAACGAAGAGACGTGAACAACGGATTATTGAATTCTGATGAGAAAATTGTTGCCGGGTAAAAACAGCCACCTCCTTTCAAAAGTGGCTTTTATGATCGTATAGAATGCAAAAATAAGTTTTTTCTATTTTGTCAAACGGTATTTACACTTTTTCCTAAAACAACATTTCATCCAGTCACCAAGGCAACGACAGAACAGCGATTAGATAATATTGCTTTGGGAAAACTACATTCTTCATTAAAAATAATGGAATTTGGCTTGGTTCATTATCTCGTATTTCCAAGTAAAAAACGAGCACGACCGTGCCAGGAATAGAAGCATTATTCAAACCGAATTATCTTTTGTATATTTTTGCTTGATGAAAGCTGATTTTTGAAAGTTTTATTTGGTTAAATCCGGCATCTGCTGTCACCAAACTCTAAGCTTTATTTGTTTATCTCTAAGACATCATGTCACGTGGTATTCACCCATCCAAATTTTTTCTTATCTTATCCTAAGTAGCGGTGATGACTAAAAGTATTCTTTATTGCTAATAGATCAGCACCGGTCTACTACTGCATAACATTTATATGTTTATTGCTAATTTTATGGTCTAAAATCAAAAATATTTGAATTTATTGTGTTCTCGATATACCTGGGCCTCATCATGCTTTTCATTCCTTGAAGACGCCGTTTATCAAAAAAGTATCACTTGCTGGGAAGAATATAAGGTAACGGCAGGATGATGTCCACGATTACATAAAACCCACTGATCGCTGATTTGATGTGACAGTCATTTATTCATTAACAATTTAAGAGAGGAAAGATCGAGTCTTTTGGGGCTCTCATTTAACGGCGGTATTTTTAACCTCGAAAGATTGACTGAGTAAGTAAGTCCTCATTTAAGGTCTATAATGTGAAATCTAATCTATATTTTGTGTGTAAACTGCATTTTATCTGCTGAACTAGGAAGAAAGATGTCCTTGAGTCGTAAAAGCTTTACATTCCTGCTTGAGGCAGTTAAGGAATCAGGTTAAGCAAAGACCGTACTTACAATGGAAATGGCGAATCTAAAAAAGCAACGTCTTTTCTTCGCTGCTGTAGTTTTTTCATTATCGAGATTAGCGATGTCTCTACAGCAAGGTAAGAATGGTGGATACGTTTTGTATTTTAATTTGTTGGTGAAGCTAAGCGGATTCAAGCATAACATTTGTGTTATGTTGAAATRCGCTGGTCGCTTTGGTAACGGCTAGGTTTTTCCTATTGCTACGTAATTCGGGTGAAATATCAGAAGCTAGAAGACTAAATAACTGACCATATATTGTTCCTGAAATCGAAGAAGGACGAATTAAATCAGAGGAAACAGGTTTATATAAAGAACTATTTGGTATTCTTGTTTTATTGTCACCTAAATGGGGCAAATAAATGAAAAACATTTAGAATAAGTCCAGAGCAAATAAAATAWATTTACGAACGAAAGCCTCCAATTTTCGAATTGCAGAAATATGATATGAATTTTCGTGTTTTATTTCGAGCTTCAAGTAATAAAATGTTGGGGAATATAGTCATATACAAATATTTAAAAAAAAAAGGAAATGGTAGACTAAAAACTGAATTGATAGACTGAAGGAATACTTTTGACTTTACTATGTTTGTGATCGGCTGGAATATAAACTACCTGAATCTATGTCAATACAGGGCAGGTTGTATTGGCAGAGTTTCTGTATGGAAACGATATTTACAGTCCTGTCTAAAACCATTGAGTTCATAAATTACAATACATCTAGTACTGGATCTTCTAAATCTTCTAAACAAGCTGGACATCGCAGAACATTTCGATAATATTGCACATTGTAGGAAGCCATTAGGAAGACAATTTCGGTTCTGATGACAATCCTATACTGTCGTGTCTTGCGTTGTTTTAATTAAATTTATCTAGCTTTCTGTTTCTATCAGTAAGATTTGAAATAATGTGACGTTGTAAAGAATTTTGGCCACTACATATTTTAGCTTCGTATGTGATGTGCATGGATTCTTTATGTAAAAAGACTGTGTCAGCTTAGAATGGGCTATAGCTGTGCGTCATCACATATTGGCGAAATCTGATAACAGCTACATTAGCAATGCAGCTGAACTTTTCGTTCTTCGCTCTCTCGAGGTTTCAGATCAAATCCATTAGAATTGTACATATTTGATTGAAGGAAAGAAACACGAAAGAAACGAAAAAAGAGAAAAACATGAACAAAACTAAATTTGGTTACTCCTACGCAATGCTCATCAAAGCATTAATTTGTGTTTTGAAAACATTTGTCTTAATTCTTATAATACTTCTATATTTCCTTTGCTGGGTCTAATTCCTTTTTTTTTTCTTTTTTTTCTTTTTTAATTTCTTGTCGAGGACATAGATTTATAATAAGTGGCCTGTGCTATGATTGGTAGAATTTCGTTATCAATGTTTCGAGAGGAACTATTTCAAACAACTAACACTTCAAGAATTGATATCATGTGATATCTCAACAAAAAAATGAAAATCCTAGTCAATTATTTCTGTTCAAGCATTGAGTGCAGTTTGCTAAATGAATACTCATATTGATAAAGATTTCAATTCCCTGCTGGCTTCCAATTACCATTCATATCCCATTTAATCCACTTAGAGAAGGAAACCATACTGCGCACGCGCCAATATTTTTGAAATCTTCCGAATATTTTTTGAAGTGTTATCACGGGGAAAGCCTGATTAACTGAATTATAGYCTATAATTAACCGCCTATGGGACACTTTTTGTTATAGTCAAGGGACTATGATTAACAGCAGGGGAGACCTCGTCAAACATAACAGCTTCCTGCACAATACAAACACCAGGAGATAAACAGGCCGCGGTTTTTTATTGGATATGATCATCCGATGATAAGCCTCGAAAATCAATAGCTGGAGAGAAAATAAAGATTATTCGATGCTGATTGGAGGAAAAGTGTTTTTTTTTTTTTGATTGCTAAATAATGAGTGATATGCTTGGGAGATATCAAAGTGGTTTTTAAGTGCCTAACGTCTATAATTAGGCAACGAGTGTGGCAGCCGCGATGTTTTTCGGCCTCCTTGACAAATGAACGAGTAGGGACTGGTTTCTAGTTTTATGGTGACGTCAGGTGTAAACAACTTATCGGTCATGATAGATGCTTATTCTATTGTTTAGTAAAGGAGAGAGAAAAAATTACTAAAATACAATGGAATTCTGATGATTCGCGATGTGACATTCTAAGTTAGAATACCTTTGTTGTCATATTTTCATTTTCTACTGATTTTCGGCTTTTTTTAGAAACAACGGTTAATCTTGGTAAAGGCGCCCGAATATTATATGTAGTAAGATCATAAAGCGAACATTGTCGTTAAAAAAAGRGTAGATTGAATTGAAGGGATATCACGATTGCAGACTCATAGCATTGCGGGTATGATGTAATCATAGTGATAATCCCGACATAACTGGAGCTTGGTTGTCATGCACTAGCACAAGAATCAATAATCGATATCAGTTTCCCTTTCATTTGGCCTTGCGTCGCCGCTAGTGAACCATGTTTAACGCATTGGACCTTAGGATCTGTATAAGCCGCCATGAGGTTGAGGGGGAACTGGGTCGAGTTGACATTTCAGTGCATTGTCGGGCTGTTTTAGGGACGAAATAGACGCCATCAATGCACTGTAATGCCAACTTGACCCAATTTTTTCCCTCAACCTCGGRACCCGGATAATAGYATTTTAGCCTTTTGTACAATTTCTCATTCCGGTCGAATTTAGAATAAAAATGAAAAGCTGAGACCGRCAAGAATTCAGGGTAGATCAGGGTTGATACATTCTACATTTTACAACCGCTTGTTAATTTTTGAATATATTTTTACCAGTTACAGTTTCACCCCAAAGCTGAAGTTTGTTTACAGCTTTACTTCCCATAATAATCGTCAGCGGTCTTAGTTTTGTAGGTTTTGGGTGACTAACTTTATTGAAATAAGAATATTATGTTATGGACCCAAGTGAAAGGACAGACAGACAGACAGACAGACAGACAGACAGACAGACAGACAAACAGACAGACAGACAGACAGACAGGTAGGCAGCTGGAGGCGTCAATGAACAAAAAGATAAAATCAACAGACTAACGCTGGGGCAAGGAACAAATAGTTGAGTTGCATAAATGAAGAATGAATTAAGAATGATTGAAAAGACAGCATAATGACCATAAAATGGACTGCAAAAGGATAAATAAATGGAATATGAAAAATGTAGTCAAAAACAAAACACGGAGAAAAACTAAATAATGTTTTTTTTTCCATTGTTATTCGATCTAGTTTATTCCTCGAGATATAAACAGCYACCAGGTTGGTTGATCTAACAAGAGAAGCTAATGAGGAATGCTATRAGTTATCGCCAAACAACATGGCGGCTATGACGTAATATATACACTAAGAATAGATTGTCATCCTGATTTGTTTTTTCCCTGATCTCTAGGCCATTCTTCATTTACAGATTGTGGAAGCACGTATACTCATGTCAATGGAACAATTCTCACCCCAACCACCACCCCCTCAAACTACACTACAGCAATAAAATGTAAGTGGATAATAGACACAAGAAATGAGAGTACCTCGCATCACCTTCAGCTGAAAGTACAGGAGATYGACCTCAAAGGAAACATGCCGTATTGTTTGACGGGTAATTACGTGGAAGTATTCATAGGTTGTGGATATACATCTATTGGACGGTTCTGTGGCATCAGCGTGCTACCTATATTCTATTCTTCTGATGGCTGTATGGCGATAATTTTGCATTCACAACAAGGAAAGAGYAATTTTAAAGCAGTTTACAGCTTGCGACCACTAAATAAAGGTATTAGGAAGATTTTATCATTAGAATTAGASTTCAAWTACAGTAAAAACCCGCGTATAACAACCTAGTTTTTTTCAAGTTAGCCTAAACAGGTTCTTATATAAATGGTATTTAGTGTTAAATTAGGCTAACTAGGTTCTTAATTAGGTTCTTAACTTTTGTTCAAGAAATAAAGTAGTATTTTTGAATACTGTAGAGTGCTCACACTAAATCCGTGAAACAAATACTAATTTTTAGCACTAAATGGTGATAAATAAACAATAGAAAACAAAGGAATCTGTATGAAATAGTACTAATTAGTACTATTTAATGTTCACGGATTTAGTGCGTGCACTCTAGTCTGGTCTTTAATGTCCAATTACAGTATCCTTGGAGGCTTATGTAATCAAATGTACTACAGTATACGATTTTAATCTGATTCTGTTATGATAACCATGTACAGTTATAGTGTTTATAGCATTATTGTGTACAGACTGTGTTATAAATATATTTTTGAAAAGATTTATTCAATTCTTTTTTCTTTTTTAAAAATAAGAACCTGTTTTAGGATTTTAGCCTAAAATGGTTCTTATGTAGAGGGTACTTAAAAATGAAATTTTAGCCTGATAGGCTCTTAAATTATAGGTTCCTATACGCGGGTTTTTACTGTAAGCTTGCTATTATATCATAACATTCTGTTCAAGTTACTCCTTAGTCGATCTCTCTTGTCTCCTTAGGATTTTATTTAGTCGAGCGTTGTGAACACGTGCCAGTAGAGATACGCAGAGGGAAGTGGGCAAATATTCCTTGCACTAATGCACTAATAATAAAGTGTACTACTTTGACTTTGATGAAATAATAACTACTAATGTTCATTGTTTCCATATTATTTCTTTCTTTACAGAGGTCGAGCACCTACCAAGTAAGTAAAACRTAAACTATTGGACTATAAAGTCAAATCCAACTAGTTGTCTATCAWCAACGCTGCATTCTGATTGAATGGGTACTACTAGGCTATAAGTTATATCCTACAAGTAGCGAAAAGCAGTGTAGTCTTTCAGAATCAAAACTTTGAATTTAACTTTAATTCAAAACTTGTTTGCATCTATTTATTTGACCGACTACTGTTGCATTTGACCAAAACGATTAATCCTCTCGCCCTCTTGGTCTATGAGTCAACAGCCCATTCGGGCCTCGAACTAATTACTTACTTACTTAATTACTTACTTACTGGCCATCATGCCTGTTGGCATTTAGGGCAGCAACAAAGGATGGATTGTTAAGGACTAAAAAAATAGTCAGTTCTCAATAGTCCATAAAGCTTGCAATATTGTATATACGCATACCTCTCCATACCTCTCCTATGTATTTTCTTATTTTACCAATTGTTTCCAAAACGTAAAGGGAGTTAGAAGTCAGTAAACCATGGCCAAATATTGGGTCTGTGACATTTTGCTCTTATTTTCTAAACTCGGTCCCAGACCCCCAAATTCAACATACAAGTTGTAGCAACTGAAAATAGGCAATTTTTCGAGCCAAATTCAAAAGTTTAAACGTTTTTTAAGGTGATGTACAATCAGGTTTCCATYATTTAGTTCAGTATGATGGTGGCCCTTAGCGGGCTCCGTTATCATGCTATCGAGAAATGTTCAAAAATTAGTCAAATTAAAAAAATAGACCCAGTCATTTTGAACTTGAAATTGTGTGCGGTTTGCATAAAGAAAGCCTATGGAGTTTAACCGCGCGACCACCACTTTTGGGGAAAAAATGCCACGTTATTTGAGACTTGGATCTACTTAAGATGTTGGAGTCAGTAAAATGTTAGTTTGATGTGAACAAAGTCAGTCATATTTTGACTTATTCCAAGCACTGTTCTTAGTATACAACAATAGTTGGTTTGTGTATTCTTTCCTTTTGTCATAAATTTGTCAGAACGGAAAAAATGTGTTTGGACTACAGAACGTTTGTCTCCCGTCGATCCATTCTCTGAGCAACTGCTGTAAAGCCTTAAAAAGAATAACGCTCGCTTCTCATCTCAGCCAGCAGTTGCTTTGTTTTACTGTTATCGGCTTGAATCCTTACAAATCCTTGAATGTCTGAGTCTGGTTTGAACGTGTATCAGAGCCATTATTCCCGGCCATAATCTTCGACCGAGTGTCGCCTTGGATTCATATTTAGCAGTTTTCGAAGCCGAAAAAACTGGGGGAAAAATCGCTCAACTACTGTCGTAACTGTTTCATATTAAGAACGTTTTACGCATCAGAAGTTATCTGTTCCTAGAAAATGTATTTTTTGATGAATAGAAAGATAAACAAATTTTAGAAMATCTGTTTTGTCGATTGTAACATTGTCGCCGCCCCATGGACAGCTCATCTTCCGAACAGTACGCTTCCTTAGAAATTTTCCAAGCTAATTTCAATAGACCCCTTGCATGTTACGTCAAAGCAGCTCAATTTCGGGGACAAAACAAAAGAATTTCAATATCCTGAGAATTGGAAACCTTTTGTTTTGTCCTCCAAATCGAGCTACATTCCGACGTGCTGCAAGGGGCCTAGCTATTGCTGTTTAAATGGTACGCATCTATATTTTTTGATTTTTATTTATATATACTACATTATTCTGTATTTACAAAATACGAAATATGATATATGTAATCTAGTCTGCTTTCTAAAGGGCCATTTGTTATTTATGCGAGGATTGCCATAACATTCGAAGGTAAAAAATTGGGGAGATCGTCAAAAAAGAAAAAAAGATAGAAGGGGGTTTAGTTGAATCTGTTTTACAAGTACAAAGAAATATGCGGGAGGTAAAGGAATGCTTACCAGCCTCCACCTTTAGACATAAATAATGAATGGTCCCTAAGTAACTAAATCATATAAACTGAACCTCTAAATCAAGTTTAATTATCCACTTGCAAGAGTTGATATAATTATTTATCAAGTGGTGCATTTTTATCAGAGACAGAGAGAGAGAGAGAGACAGAGACAGACAGACAGACACACCTTTATTTGAAAACGATAGTTCCATAAGTATAAAACTTCTTTACATGGAAGTCGTTATCGATTAATGAAATATAAATATATAATCCTAAAAAGTTGAAAAATATTAGAAATGATTTAAATAACAAAGAGAAAAATCCTACTGAGAACTGACAGCACGCCATCTCATCAGACGTTTTTTAAATTCATTCTTTGTTGGAGCAGATTTAATTTCAGAGAGAGAGAGAGAGAGAGAGAGAGAGAGGAATTTGTTTTAAAGTCGTATCTGTAGAGGCGTACACTTTAATTTCAAAATTTTAAGTCGCATTTGATAAAGTTGCATCAGATAGTTTTACTAAGGCTGTTTATATCTTTGTTAGTTGGCTGTGGAGTATCTGAAGTCGACAACACAAGACATGGCAACATATTTTCTCCACATTGGCCCTTGCCCTACCCAGATTATGTGGATTGTGTTTGGACAGTAAGAACGCGCAAAGATTTGGAAGTGAAGCTAATTTTCTTTGACTTTGATATCAAGTTTCACAAGCCATGTAAACTCATTGACTTCGTTGAGGTTAGAGCAGGAGGTACTGGTTATGTACATGCAAGAACACTAACAAATGATGAGGAATGTGGACAGAAAAAGCCTTTTAGCATCATCATCAGTACCGACACGTTTTACATAACATTTCGCAGCTATAAGAGCACAGGACCTAGAGGATTTATGGCTGGATTTGTGGCCTATGAAAAAAGTAAGACAGTATTTTTTTATATGTGTGGAGAGAGGGGGGTTGGAGGTGCGCCATCCAGGATTTTTGTTTTAGTAGGGGGTTCGTCTCGGGAGGGGTGATATTTCGGTCTTGTACCGAGTGTTGTACTGAGTGTTGTACTGAGTGTTGTACTGAGTGTTGTACTGAGTGTTGTACTGAGTGTTGTACTGAGTGTTGTACTGAGTGTTGTACNAGTGTTGTACTGAGTGTTGTACTGAGTGTTGTACTGAGTGTTGTACTGAGTGTTGTACTGAGTGTTGTACTGAGTGTTGTACTGAGTGTTGTACTAAGTGTTGTACTGAGTGTTGTACTGAGTGTTGTACTGAGTGTTGTACTGAGTGTTGTACCGAGTGTTTTACTGAGTGTTGTAACGAGTGTTGTACCGAGTGTCGTACCGAGTGTTGTACCGAGTGTTGTTCTGAGTGTTGTACTGAGTGTTGTACTGAGTGTTGTACTGAGTGTTGTACTGAGTGTTGTACCGAGTGTTGTACCGAGTGTTGTACCGAGTGTTGTACCGAGTGTTGTACCGAGTGTTGTACCGAGTGTTGTACTGACTCTTTCAATCATTTTTTTTCAGCTAAGCCAGGATTCAATCCCCAAGTACTGATCATGTTTGGATGCGGCCTACTTCTCATGATTCTTATAGTTTTCAAGAAATTCGTTGTCCCTGCCCTGTTACGACCACGCAAAAGACTATTCGAAAAAGGACCGTGGTATGCTCTTAAGTGTTGCCTGCCTCAAACGTCTTGTGACTGCTGCTATCAATGCGCATGTCAAACGAGAGTGTCAATGCGCAAACGCATGTCTTTAAAAAGAATAGAAGATTGTCCTTACGAAGGTACACTAACTGCTCCAATCGCAAGAGAGTGCTTTATCGAGGAGCAGAAACAAAGCTTGGATGACCCGAGTAAGGAAWGTACACTTGTATCCCTGCAAGGGGTGACGGACTATTTTATCACTAAAAGTACTTCGGATTTGCGCTGTGGGCCTTCCAATGAAGCATCATCGCCTTCATCGAATCTTCTCCCGACTGAATCAGATGACAGAAGGTCTTCATGTAAATCAGTTCGATTTGCMAATCCTAAAGCTTCAAATCAGTCAACCAGTACGATTCAATGTAGTTAATGATATGATTGAGCAACGTTGATGGATTGGTCTGACGTATTGGGGGATGGGACGGAGGGGTAAATGGTAAAACTATATGCATTTTGAAGTTTTTTAAATGCGTAAAAGGGGAACAATAACTGCGCACTAAATTTTAGCTTCAATAAAATATTTTGATATTTCAAAATGTATAAAAGTAATTGTGCCTTTGCAAGGACAGATATTTCACAAAGGTTGGTGAAGTCTGTTTTCAATGTTCAGTATTGCATAATGCATGCTGCATGTTGCTCCAGTACTAAGCTTGAAATCTATTATAATCACTTATGTAAATAATGTAAGTACAGAAGAAACTATTCCGGAAAAAAACGTCATGCAGACACGTTTCAGGAAAATTCGGCTTGGTATGTAAGATGCAGCAAAACCTTTACCAACCTTTTTGAAATAGCTGTAAAGCCCTGCCACGTCTGATAACTCGAGGGAAAACTAGGTCGAGTTGGCATTCCAGCGCACTTTGGGCCTGCATATTTACGAGATGGCGTCTATTTGGTCCCCTAAAATGGTYCCACAAAACACTGCAATGCCGACTCTACCCAGTTTAATGGACTAATATCTGCATGCAGCGATTCAAAGGTACTCAATATTAGGGGTGGGTCCCTGACATCCTTCTATGCTTTGCTCTTCACTTGTCAAAACCCATGACTCGAAACGTTCAGGATTTAATATCATGACTTTGAAAGACAAAAATATAATGGCACAGCCATAGAGAACTGTTGTATGTGAAAAACCAAGACATATAGCACGGCACGGTACTGATTAGAGGATATATTTAAGTCGATCAAAATGCGCAAAATTATTGGATGCTGAACCAATCAGAACTCTTAGACACAGCACCGACATGGTCACGGTCACGGCCTAACAAATTATCCACAGTACTAGTGAGGCCATATACTTGTAAGTTTTGTGTATGGGAATTCTGATTGGATGTGAGCAGCAACCTGTTGCTTGTGTCTATCACAAGTTGTACATTCACTTTTTTGCTATTATTTTCTTTGTAAAGTATTTAGATCCCACAAAGACGTCATCGCTGGCGTATTTTCATTTTACTATCCATGACGTCATTATACTTTTAATACGTTGCTTAACATTGTATTCCATTCATTTTTTGACTACTCACTTGAGACACGTACTACGTAATGGAACTTCTAGGACTAGAAACAGTCAAACTCTTCATATAATAAATATTGCATGACATTTTACGGAGAGTTTTAACTTAACAATTTCCATCAAAAGAAAGAAAGCGTTTTTTTCGTGTATTAGCCATTCTGACGTTGAGAGAAAAACTGAGTCGAGCTGACATTGCAGTGCATTTTGGGGCTGTCTTTGAGGTGTGTGTTTCGTCTCCTGAAATGCACGCCAATTCCTACTCGATCAAGTTTACCTGGGAACGGTTAATTTGGTAGTCGCAGTCCTATACGTTCCCCAGTACGTTGTATAATATATTGTTAATCAGTTTGGCATTAAAGAATGGATTTGCTTAACTGCAACAAGTGTCGGGTCAGTTTTGTTAATTGAGAGTTCAAACCCACATCGCGTTTCCTCATCTTTTATTATCGAAAACTAAGAGGGATCGAAGCGCGTGTGCCATAGTGGTTTTGTTGGTTCTCTGTGTAGTCGGAGGATTTTCTCCGTAGGTTTCTTCTTTTTGCGAAAATCAAAAACTCAATTCCAGTTGAATTCAATGGTTCATTTGATTTGATTTTGAAAGAGGCGGGTGAGAAGTTCGTGGTACATCTTACTTATTCCCTCTTTTCCAGTTTTTGATTTATTTCCTTTATTTAGTGATGATTCTGACACGAAAATGGTTTATTAAGACCTTGAAGATTACTCCAAATGTTTAGCGTTTTAGCGGCTATATGCACTTTAAAGGATATAAGATATTTTTACTCCGATCGAGTTGCATCACGGCTACTTTTTCAAAATGCGTCCCACATGGAAAGGAATAAGAAGATGCTCAAAGCCATCAGCGTCACAGTCAAAATTTTGAGTATGCTGGTCATAGCAAGGGGTTAATCATCTACGGTCTAGGGGCCGACTAACCTCTCCCTTAGGCTTTGGCCGAGCTTCCTGATCAGTCTGTAATTCTTCGGATAGCGGTGTCGGGGTCGAAATCTCCGGCGTAGCCGTAAATGCTTCGCGCTGCCATACGACGGTTCAGCACTCGATGTCTGGAAGTATGGTCCTAAATTTAAAACAAACAATTTGCGTGACTTACTAGCTGAAAAACCTGAAATGGGAAAGACATAAGATTTTAGCTCATATTAGTGCCCGTGCTAAATACAAATGCAACATTTAAATGAATAACACCCTGTTTTAATCAAAATTTACAGATAAGCTTTCTTTTGTTTGACAATCAACGATGGTCCTTTTCCAGGCTCGCGGAACGTAGCCCGGGGGGAGAGGGGGGAGTACTCCGCCAGAATTTGGGTAGGGGTGTTCCGCTGGGATTCTGAAAGGGGTACCCTGTTTATGACAAAAAAACTCAAATTTGTAGACCCTGTTTATGACAAAAGATATAATTAATTGCACTGAGTTCCTGTTTCAATTATCATGTCATCTCGCGTATCGTTTTTTTTTCGGCCATGGTAACCAGTTTCGGTCAATACGGAAGTAGAATCCCTGAATATCACAGSAAACTCAGGAAGAACTTGGAACTCGAGTGAAATTGCATACCCTGTTTATGATAAGWAGCTCGAAAAACCWTACCGTGTTYAGCGGATCATCCCCSTATAGTCCATATATGCGAGTACCCCGCCCGGGGAACGTATRTAMAMGGTTCAGGCYTTCACTTACGTTCTTGTCGGGGCCAAGGGTGATTGACCTGTCAYTCAAGCTTGAGGGGAAGTTCTATACTCGGTCCACTTGTTAGCACCTCATTAGTTACTACAACAGTAAAGCCAAAGCCACCAAGTCGATTGAAATCAAGAAATGTTCGACGATAGAGCAAAAAATTAACTTTTTGATCGCGCGCATTTCTCCAAATYCAATTCGATCCAACCCTTTAGACATAAATCTCTCGCTCGGGATACTGAGCAATCTTGGCGCTGAGCGCTGTCAAGAATTGCTGATGGCGCACGTCACAGGACACAAATATAGAAAGGCKGTTTCAAAACTAGACTGCTTTGGTCCAGGAGAAAACGAATCAAAGCAGCACTAACCACACTTTATGATGGAAGAATTTATTCATTTATCAGAACAATTTGGTGCAAATAMAATTTCATTTGATTCAGTGGATTTATTTGATATCTATTATGATTTGACTACATACACTTTATAGGGTTCTGGACCAAAATGACAAAGGGCATACCAAGATAGGAT